CCAATGGAACATGATGATTTACACCTAAAATAAGTCTTATTTCAAGTGCATATTATCTAATTATCTTATTTTAAGAGTAAAAATACTCATTCCATTGGCAAATCATCTTATTTGCATACTCAAATTAGGGTACATACACTTCATTAAACACATTTTTACTTATTTCTAAATCGTTTTTGCAGTGTAAAACTACTCTAGAGAGAGAAACTAGTCCTTACAATCATTTGCACAGTGTTTACCAAGACAAAAAAAAATCCTCAAATTAAGAATACTAAAATAAAATCCAAACAAAGAAATACATTATTAATGTTCTGTCTCTTTTAAAATCTTGACTTACTGGTGTCAAAATGTATTCAATGTAGATCATGCATTGAAATAAGGTTCTGCTCCAAGTGTGACTCATATTTCATTACAGGTAGAAGGAAAGTTACCCCACGGGTGGAAACCGTGTTGCCACTCTGGAGGTTTGGGACTGCATTATCAAACCCCGTCACATGACCTCTCATTGGGATCTGTTTGTGTGTATTTGTTCATGCATAATAGCCTCTCACAAACTGAAATTGTGTTGTTTATGTGCTGTTTATATGTTCACCAGTAAAGTCAATCAAAGTTGTTTGCTTAGAAAAAAAAGTATGCACCAACATTTTAAAAGTAAGATAAACCACTGCCTTTAATCAAACAAATTTATGATCCTTTCACAACTTTAGGTCCATGTTTCTAACAATGTAATGCTTAAACAAATAACTGATACACTTTTACAGATTCAACCATTGACCAGCATCAGCTTGACCCCAAAAGCTATTTATTAACAACTTAGCCTCCAGAACAAGGCATGTCTTTGATAAGTTAATTTAGTCATTCAACCTTTATCTAACTGGGAAAGCACCACTGAGACCTTGTTCCGAAGGGATTCCTGGCAAAACGGAGGCAAATATTCCACAATTACAATTGGATTAAAAATTAAAATGTCAAACAAATTAAGAAAAACATAAAAATAAAAATAAAAACTATATCCAGTGCACTCAGTCTTAAAAGTCCTCAGTGGAATGCAATCCTCTATTACAGTTTCTAATGATACACATTCTTAATGCTGAAATCTAAAATAAAACACCAAATACGTTGTGTATTTTTATCTTCTCACTGTGTTGTTAATAAGCTTGAAAGAGATACATTCAGTATCAATGGGTCAAAGCTTTACAAAAACTGGGGAACTGAAAATTAGCACCATGTTCTGAGCGTGATCTCAACAAGCTACCAATAAATGGAGAGAAAATATTCTAAATATGCGTCTTAAGTGATAAATAAATGCTGTTTCCCCTCTGGCTTATTGTAAATAAGCAGACAGTTAAAATATTTGTATGTTTCTGGTGCAAAGCTGCGCATGAAATACTACTTCGTGGCCACAATAAAAAAATTTTTTTGAACATGTCATCAGAGGGGCTCCGTACAAAGCACATAACAGCATATATATAAAGTATAACAGCAGTTATACTTTAGCATCTCTTAGCATAATCTTACAGGATTACAATTGAACATTTTCAAGGCTAAATCTAGTTGTTATAGCTGAGATTTCAAAATAAAAGCAAAGTATTTTTTTCCAGTGAAAAAACTCTATATTTTATTTTTCTGCAATATCTATTGGAGCTCCAAAAAAGCATATTTACATTTGTTTTGTACTAATTTACTTTAACCGTTTTCCCCAATTTAAATTGTTTCCCCCAATCTTCTACATTGTTATTCTCTGAGATTAGCATAAATAGTTAAAACTTATTGAGATTTTAAACTTGTAGACCACTTTCTTAATACTTTTTGTGCCCTTTTTTAGTTGTTGAAGGCTGAGAAGCTTTGCAGTTTTTAAACGGAAATAATCTCTGAAATGCAAACTACCTTTATTGATATAAAGCTGAAGAAAGAAGCAGTGACCTTTTACTTATTAACAAGGCTAAACTAGAACAGTCAATAAGTTTGCTCTCACAGGCCTGTTATTTCACCAAATAGTTTAATGACCCGAATCAAAACCAGTGGTGTACCGTATGTTATCACCAAAACTAATTAATCAGTCACACAAATTCTCCTTCGATACCAGAACCAAGATCCTTTCTGAACAGAAATAGCAATTCAGTTCTTCTCTATTACTGAAAAGAACTGAACAAAAAGTTTCCCTGAAGGTACTGCCACTGCCATAGAACAAAAGGTCTGATTAGGGAAATGTTTTGAACACCAACATTAACACACACACATAACCTCCATGACCAGTTTCACTTATTGTGTTTTGCCCTCATGATCTCTTCTATGTCTCCCTGCTGAAGTTTGCAAACCTTTTAGAGATGTACAGACTTAGACGCTGATAAATGTTCTTCCAAAGATAATTTTATACTCAACCATATTTCACTGTGGAGATACAAATAACTTTTTTCTTTTTTTTTTTTTTACTGCATTGCCATTGTTTAGTATTTTTATGTGACCTTAAAATAATGCCTACCGCGATCTTATTGGTGTACAGCTGTTTTAGGTTGTTAAATAATGAGTTATTATAGTTTTGCTTAAAATAATATAATTAATAAAATACATTTTTTTTATTTAAACTATGAAGTTTGTATTTCACAAGAAATATTACTAATGGATCTCTTTGATGATGTACTGATTATATGGTTTCTTTATCAGCACCCAGTTTCCTTTCAGAAGCACAACATGACAAAGCTAAATAAAACAGGCCCAACCTCCTTCTGGCTCATTTAAGTAGCTAAAAACTTTCCTCCATTGATCAAAATGAAGGTACCAAACTTTGAGCACAAATGTCATCATAAAGTTAATCAGGAATAAAATCCCTTAATCTATAGATTTTATGTCTTCTTTTAGCCTGCCATGTTTTAATGTTAGTACACTGTGTTAAATTAATAGTCGCTCTAAACAAATAATTCTGCTGCATCTTTAGTAGCTACATTAGCCTAGGGCTACTTTTAGAGCTCAACAACATGATACAATAAACTACTGCTGACATTTGCCTGGCATGAAAGACACCTTCCAGCTGGATGTTTTTGCCACCATGTTTATGCATCATTACATGCAGCTGTAATGAAGTTAACCTCTAACAGGTAAATAACTCATTAAGCAAAGATAACTACACATATATACTGCGTGGTTCTTTAATCTGAAGCTTTTCATCTTAAATGGTAATTTATCACAGGGATTAATTTAGGCAAGCTGGGATTCCCACAGGTAGCTTTTAAATATTGAGTAAGGCCAGTTTGTTAGGTTTCCTTGCTAATACACTTAGGAACATTTCTCCTGGTCCCTTCCTCCATGCTGGCTAAATTAGAGGAAAAACCTTCATTTCATAAATTTAATCATGAAACTTTACCTCCACAACCTTAGTGTAGGGTGGATATTGTGTAATTAATTCATGTCTGAGTTCAGCATTCTTAGATTCATCTCTCGGATTCCAGCTCTATTCTCGGCTGCCTTGCACTCATTGCTCATCTGCTACATGCATTTCTCAAATTCAGACATACAAATTAATACAGCAATCATGAAACAGAAGCTTAAACATTAACATGAAAAATTTCTAAAAATAAAAAAACAAGATAGATGAGGTTTGATGCTACGCTATAATGAACACTCAGCAAAATAGTCAATCTAAACTGGTCTTTGGTTCTCTGCAGTAAGGAGTTAAAACCTCTGATAAAGAGAGACAATTTATGTCAGGTCAAAGTAAATATTACAATATGAATTATAAATTAACATACCCCTGTTATCTTATAAATCTAAGATTTCTGTTAATTTGAGGTTCTTTGTAAAGAACTAGACTTTGAATGTTTTAGACCATAAAACCAGAAAAACACGCTTTAATCCATAGAAAAGGAATTAGATTTTACCACTGTATAGCTCTATGACCCTTCCTGTAATTTTTAAATTCATATTTACTCAGAAATACACTCAAACGCTGCTAAGATCCTCCCTCTTAATAATGCATTACGCAAATTTCTAGCATACAGGACTCCATAAAATATGGAGGTTATTTTATTTCATTTTCATCCCAGCATTTTTAT